ATGCGGGCATCTGGCCTCTGCTCGTCGTCGGACCCGCGCCGGTGCACATGGAAGCCATCCCACCTCGTCTCCACCGACTGCTGGCATCGGATCTCAGCCGCGATGTTCCCATCACCGAGGCCTTCATCTCCGACAGCATCCTCAAGCGCAGACGCCGCGAGCAAGAACGTCAACAGCGCAGCGCAGCCCAGATCCAGCTCAACCAGGCCCTCGAGGAGGCCCTCAGCGCATTTGAAGATGGCGACCGGGTGCTGGCCGCCATCCGTCGCGGCCACGCAACCTCGTCGTCACAACCAAGCTCGAGCTCCCACGATCAAGACCATTCCCGCACCAGCATCGACAGCGACGAGGACCTCGGTCCCAACACCAGCACCCTCAGCATCAACACCATCGCCAGCGATGAGAGCGCCACCGTGCTGGGAAGCCGAGTCGCCAGCCGCGTCGCCAGCCTCGCAGCGACCACGGCCGGCATCGAGCGCGCACGTGCAGCTGCGCTCGAATCCAGCCACGACGACACAGAGCGCGAGCAAGACGACGAGACGCTCGAAGCATGGAAGGAGCTCGAGGTGGTGGCGAGATACAATATGGACCCCACCACTCTCTCCCTCATCGGCTTGCAGCACGCCAACAGCGACAGCCTGCACAGGTCATCGGGCCTCGCGGGCCAGCTGAGGAGGGGTCCGTCATCGTCCTCGGGCATCGCAGCCGCATTCGAGTACTTTGCTCGCGCGTGGAGAGCCGCCGACGTGAGCCTGGCGACCGAGCGCCTGGTGCAAGACTCTCTCCCCCTTTTGCCCTCGACGGTTCAGGGCGTCGGGCATCAAGATCAGAGCATCGTGGACGTCCGACTCGCCGAGGTGCTGGAGCCTTTCCTCGCTCGCTCGGCCATGAATCTGCCCGACACGGGCAAAGTGGTAGCGAGCTCGTTGCGCGAACGACTGCATTCGCATTCGTACATGTCGCACCGACAGCGACTCGTGGCCTCGCTGGGCGGGCCGAAAGCACTAGCACGTCTGTATGTTTCGTACGCGCGGTTGCATCTGCCCTCCCTCGCCTCGAATCGGTCTCCGCTGGCGTTCCCGTATGGACAGCTAACGAGTCCGTTCGTCAGTGGCGGTCAGGGCGTTCAGCATCCGGCCGGCAATCTCAGACGGAGACTCAGTCCCAACGCCACTTCGGCGACGTCGAGTCGAACACCGAGCATCGCCTCACTCACCTTTGCAGGCGCAGAAGGAGGCGCCGCTTCGCCCGCCAAGAGTACGAGGGCGCCCAACTCGCCCACCGTGGCCGAATCGAGCCGCATGGCGTCGCCTGACCATGCAGCAGTGCAGGCGTCTGCGGGGCAGCTGGACTTTTCCGACTTTGTGGTGCAGGCTGATCACATCGCGGCTAGCCAGCCTGGGCCGTTCTACTTTTTCCGCGAGGCCTGCATGCTGGACAACGACGTTGCGGCACAAATCAGCGCAGGCGAGTGGTCGGAAGCGGTGATGCTGGCGCTGCAGGCCGAGGAGCGAAGGGCGAACGAGGAGCAGGGGCTCCGACACGCCGAGGAGATGGGCAGCTGGGCGGGCAACAGCGAGAGCGGCGGTCTGACCTTTGAAAGCGACAGCGAGGCGCGTTCGGCAACGAGGCCATCGAGGAGGTACGGCCAGGCTTCGTCTTCGAGCGCGTTATCGGGTCTGTTCAATGCGTGGATGGGCGACGAAGCAGCTCAGACCAGGCAGAGACACGCACGGAGGAGGAAGGAGAGAAGGGGAAAGCAAACGCGCAAGCCCAAGATCGACGGCCCCGACGCAGGCGTCATCAACTTTGTCAGCGGCGCCGCACTGCTCGGCGTCGCCCTCGCAGGCAGTGTGGCGGCGCTCGGTTGGTGGAGACGCACATCGGCGGCCCTCAACTCGTCCGCCTGAACATTGTATCCGATACCCCCATTTGTCCCTTTTCTTGTAGCTCGCATTCAGCATCCGCATCCTTCCAATCCGTTCGCCAAGTGCTTCCAGTCCGTTCGTCAAGTGCTTCTGTCCCGCAACGGTTGTCTGTCGTCCGCCATGATTTTGAGACCGAGTGCTACGGCTACGCGAAAGATTAGGTGGCTAGCGACACAGCCATCACACCGAGACCTTGCGAGGCAGGCACATGCGCCCCCGTGTCAGTGATGAACTCACTCAGATTGATCATGGAAACGGAATGCAGTGATGAACCGCCCCAGTGCAGACCTTTCGACGCTTCCTTGGCCTGTCGTCTCCCGGCACGTAATTCACGGTGCTAGAGAATCCCTGCTCGTGGATGTAGCTCAAGAGGAGACTCATGCTACCCTGGTTTGCAGTGTATACGAGTTTGTCGGCGAAGCGTTGATCCCGGAGCTTGGCGAACGTGTCGTCCTCCGGTCGGCGGAGACAGTCGAGAATGGCGGACTCCAAGCCAACGTGCCATTGTCGGAGGTCGTAATTGTAGAAGAGGTTGGCGGCGCGGACAAGTTCCTCGAGAGTATAGGACTCCCAGCCCGAAATGTCCGCGTCGATGCCCCTGGCGAGCAAGATTGCTTCGCTGGAGGATACGGGCAGATGAATGCGTGCTTCGGAGTCCTGTTGGTCCGAGATCATCTCGGAAAGCTTACCGGATTGCTCGAATACCCTTGTCCTGGAGCACCAGACCTCGGTGCCGTCTCGGCCGACGAGCGCTACCTGGTCCGAATGGCACTCGTTCCCGTTAACCGATCGATCCTCGTTGTCCTCGTCCATGGCGATAATGTCCGAAGCGTCCGTGTTGTCGGTGTTGAAGGCGACTTCAGTAGGCGCGGAAGGGCTCGTGTCCCACTCGGCTTCAGCTGCGGCGATTTCGTCCAAGATGTTTTCCGTCGTGTTCATCGTTGCTAAGATCGACCTGATGTGGGTTGTGAGGGAGGAGAAGAAAGGAAAGCAGCAGCAGAGAGTGCCATTCCGGCAACGACAATGTGATGGTAGCAATTGCCGACCGTGCTGGTTGCGCGCCTGTGCCGCTGACCGCACGCGTGCGTGGCTACAGTAACCGTGCTCTGCCAAGGTCCGAGGATGCTGAAAGATGCGAGTGGATTGCGATGGCTGACGCTGCTCTGCTCGGCCCGCAGTTGCCGCAGTGGGATCAGCGAGTTGATGCAGGAGTGTGGAGCTGCCGCACCAGCCGCATGAAGCTCAAGGTGGGCCTCCTCGGTCATTTTGTCGAAGCAGGGTCATCATGATACATCGGAGGAGCGTTTCACCTCTTGATCTGGTCTGGCTGGTGCAGAGATTGCATCGGCTCTTCCGTGTCAACCTCATTCGGCGGCAACCCTGGACTACCGCACGCAGGATCGCCGTTGAGGGTCGGAAGAGCCGAAGCCCCGCCAAATTGCAGGCCAAAGAGGCGGTCCGAGCTCCTCGCTGCATCGGACGGATGCCCGCAAGAGGCGACACGAGGCGACAGGGCCAAGTGCGATTGGACCCTTCGGCTGGCCCGAGCTTATCCACCTGCGCAGGCCGTTATTGAGCCGCACGGCAGACGGCGAAGAATCACACTCACCCCAGGCTCGGTGACTGAGCTTGGTGGAGCGTGGAAATCCGCCCCACCTCTCGGCTCCGCCTCGACGCGTCGGATCCTCGAAAATTGCCTAGGAGTGCAGTGTCCAAGCGCCTTCTTCTCACGCGTCCTTCTGCATACTGTCACTTCGCGATTGGCACTTTTAGCCAAACTCTATGCGCTGGACGTGTCAAAAACCTCATCAACCTTCCGCACCACACTCTCCTCTTTCCTAGCTTTCATCTTCGCCCAGCATGGCGAGAACGAAGGGCATCACTCTGCGAGTACGCAAACAGGCCGACCCAACGGATGCAGCTCCGGCCGAATCCGAGGCATCGACAGCCGCAGCCGCAGCCCCGGCTCCTTCCGCCCGCCCGGACGATCCATCCCAAGATGGCCCAGCCGAGGAAGAGATGAAGACAGCAGAATCATCGTCGACGCCCTCCCTGTCTCGGTCGCGAAGCTCGCGGCTATCTCGCACCCGGTCGCACGAGGAAGCCTTTGAGGCATCCGCATCCACACCAACACGGGCAACACCGGCGCGCCGTTCTCGTCGACAGCCGACCAAACAGGAGCAGCATGACGAGGATGTGGTGATGGGCTCGCCGCAGCAGGAGGGTGGCGACCTCGGGGACGGCGACGAGGCGGATGCCCACCAACCCGATGCCGAGGCTGCAACCACACAGCGCAGCCGTTCCTCCCGCGCCAGAGCCAAGAACTCTACCACGCCCGTTCCGCAAAGTCCATCCGCATCACGTTCCAAGCGTAGCCCGAGGAAGGCGCCTAGAATCTCTGTCGTTGGCAGGAAAGGCTCGGCGCGCTCGCGGAACGCTGCCGCTGAGGACGATGACGGCGCCGTTCCATCCGAGCAGCCTGACGAACAGACGGAGCAGGAAGGCGTGGCGGACGAGTACGCAGACGGCAGCAATGAAGCAGAAGGCGAAGACGACGACGCAGACCCCGATGCGGATGCGGATGGCGACGTGGATGCCGACGCAGATGCAGATGCCGATGGCGACGACGCAGACGCAGACGGCAATGACGATGAGGAGGGTGTCGACGAGGACGGCCACAAGACGGTCACCATCAAAGGCAAGACGTACCGTCTGGAGGCAGATGGCGAGGAAGTCATTCTTCCCTCGGACCCAGACGGCGACAAGAAGATCGATGACAAGGGTCGACTGCAGGGCGGACGACAGTACAAAGCCCACCACTTCACGTCTGACCTCCGGCCTGATCCAGAGAAGGTGTACATGCTGTCGATCGATGCTGCTCGCTCGGCAGGCTATCGAGACTCGCTCTACTTTTTCCGTCGCAATCCGCAAGTATTCAAGATCGAGCTGCTGCAAGCAGAGAAGGACAAGCTTATCGAGGATGGTCGTCTGAGCGGCCAACTCAAGACGCGCAACGTCACGATGGTGCCCGCGCGCAACGTGTACAAGCTGCACGGCGCGCGCTTCCTCAGCGGGGGTAAAACAGTGATCGACGACTACTACGAGGCCGAGGCGCGTGCGTCGGGCGTCAAAGAAGGCAAGACTGTGGGTGGAATGTCGACCGAAGAGCAAGAGAAGCGACGTGAGGCCGAGCGCGAGCGCGAACGCCCCAAGAAGAAGGCAGACACGTTCAGCTACACGACAATCGACCCGCAGGGCGAGCCCGTGGTGACGCAGTTCGGCGATGCGGGGCAGACGCCCTGGGTCAGGGCGGGCAACTGGCAGTCGCGCAAGGTGGCGCTGCAGCGCGTCGACATCACCGAGGAGAACTGGATGCTCGAGATGGCCAGGAGCGTGCGCGGCATGAACACGGAACTCGGCGAAACGCGCCGTGACCGCATGTCGGCTTTCCCGCGCTTGAATCGCTATGTCGGGCTGGACGGAGTCGCCGGGCCGGAAGAGGCTACGGACGAGGTGGCCGATGGCGACGCGGAGCCTGAGGACGATCCCGAGGCGTTCAATGATCTACCTCCGTGGGAGCGAGAGCTCATCGTGGCGAGTTCAGGCACCGATGCAGAGGAGGAGAACAAGAAGCGCAAGGCCATCGCGCAGAGCGATGCCGAGACCAAGCGTCGCCGTGGCCCGCCGATCGGCGTCTACGAGCCCAACACGCATCTGCCGCACTTTAGCGTCCTCACTCAGCCCAGCCGTGCCTCGATGGTCAAGATCGCTCAGCGCCCGGCCTTTATCAACGATCCTGGACGCGAGCGAGGCGTTCGCCGCCCGATCTTGGGTGGAGACAAGCTTGGATCGGGTGCGTGGGGGCTGGCGAGCTTTGTGGTCGAAAGCGTGCCTCCCGCCGACCCGCCGGCGTACCTGGCGATGCCAGCGGCAGCCAGCGAGGCGGCTATCCATCTTGCTCCCATGTGACGCTACGCTTTCGGGTGTCTTTGTATTTCTAGAAGTCTCCGGACAAGCAATCGTGATTGCGGTTCGAAGCAACGAGGTGTCGGTCTGGCGGGTTTGAGGCTGTTGGTGGGGGGTGGTGCAATTCTGGCGCGCGCGGGGTTGCGTGCGTGCAGCGTGCATGTGGCTGCACGGTGTCTCAGATCCCTGAAGTGTTGGTCTGTGACCAACAAAGCGTGGAAATTTGGGCGTGGCTTTTTCTGCAAGGAACCCCTCACGCAGCTCAGCATGCCCGCTTCGAATCGCTCATCTAAGGCATGCCTGTCTTTGCATCTGAGCAGCAACTGTATTCGACAGCACTGGTCCATCGAAGAGAGGCAGAGCAGCATGCATGCTGGTCTTACAGAGGGGACGGGGTGCGCGGGCTCAGCTTGTGGAGCCGACTGATGCCGCTCGCGTAACTAAGCGCCGAGCTGCAGGTGGGCTTCGTAGGGCACCGATGCACGCGAGCCATGCAGGAGGGCCGCTGCTCAGGCAATGTACACGTCGAAAGGCGCTCGGACCCTAAAAGATGGGGATCCACCCTTCATCGTCTGCTCGCCAGCACCGCTGGCCTTGCCACCAAACCACCTCCATCGATCGGCAAGAATCATCTCACGGTCACTATCCCGCAATCGAGCGGTCGTTGATCGTTCATAGATCCTTGTCTCTGATCCGAGCGTGAGCAGAAGCACCGACGAGAAGATGGAGGCGGACAAGGAGAACTGCCCACCCGAGCTCCTCGGTGGGCCAACAAAGATCCCAACGCAGTCAACGTCTGCCACGTCGGCGAGACCTGCGCTGCAATCCGTCGCCGTTCCCGCGCTAGCGTTTCCTGTCGAAGATCCGGACGAGGACCGTGACGTGCTCGCACCCGATGGCAAGACGCTGCGTGCCAAACGTTCTGTTCTCTTCTACCCCTCGGCGAGCGTCGCGGCCAAGTTCAACCAACAGCCGTTCTCGCGCAGTGCGGCGAAACGCGATTCGATCCTTGCGCTCGGTAGCATCGGCTATCTCCAGCATTTGTACACGAAGCAGGGTATTGCCAACCGCAGTAGACCCGCTACCAAGGGCGCCATGCAGCTCGCTATCGGCCCCGCAGGCGAGGCGATGCTAGGCAGCGACCCTGCCACTTCGTCATCAAGCCCTACCGCTTCACTCGGAGGTCTGCCCGGACAGATCAAAGAAGAAGACGAAGTCGAGCTTGCAGATTTGCCTGCAAGTCCCAAGGCGACGGCATATGTGCGGCCGCGCTTCCTCGACGTAGCAAGACCACTAGAGGCCGATGTCAATGCTCTACGGGCGCTGCTCGTCGCTGATCTCCAGAGGTTGAGCGACGTCTGGCAGCTTGCAGACTGGATCGAGGCCGATCCCGATGCCGACACACTTCGAAGCCTCTTGACGGACAGCGAGGAGCGTCCCACGGACGCCAACGATACTGCTGATGTGCTCAGGCTGGTCGATGCGACGACAAAAGCGATCCGGTCGGTGCGGAGTTACTTGTTGGCTCTGCCTCAGCGGTCCAAGATCCCCACCACCTCTCCCATCGAGCCGAGCGGACGGGACCGCTACAAGCGCCAGAGTAGCTTCAGCGGTGTATCACGGCCGGGTCAGGTGGGCACGGCAGTTCCCACGCGCACCAGCGAGATCCTGCACGCCGATGTATCGCTGGAAGAGCCACCAGCGCAGTCGAGTTCGCTGGCGGTACCGTTCATCAAAATGCCTTTGGCAAAGCGGCTGTCGACGGAGAGAGCGGCGGAAGACGATGACCTGAGCACACTGCGTAGGGCAGCACTCGAGATGCTTGCGACACTCAAAGAGATGGAGGAGACACACCGCGTCGAAGCCTTAGAAGTTGACGGCGAGGCGCACGAGCAAGACGTGTCGTTGAGCGTGACCGACGCAAGCGATGATTCGACCGAGCCTATCACCACGCCGGTCGGCTACCTGTATCGCCAAGACCTCAAGCTGACGGATCTGGCAAAGGAGAAGGAAGCCATAGAACACTATCTCAGAACAGCTAATGCTGTGTTGTCGGCCTCTGTCTCTGGCCACGGGAAGCAGAGCAGCGCCGCGTCACATGAGCAAGATCGCGATTTCGGTGCGATTGCGGCTGAGACGGCTACGAAGCCCCATGCGGCGGAAGCAAGCTCGATCTCCGCCGACACACGCCGGGCATGGGCAGCATCCGGACTCAGCACAGGCGAGCGAGTCTATCACTTCCTAATCGACCACTGCGCATCGTGTGAGGTTGTCCCCGCTGCTCGTCTCCAACGTCTCAGCGACACTTCCGGCGACCTCGACTCGCTTCTCGCGCTTGTCAGCGACGGTTTCCTCCTCTGTCAGGCGTTCAACGAGGTGGTTCGACGGTCTGCCAAGCCGTGGGGCTACATTTCCTCGCGAGAGATGCACGATCTCGAAGCCGAAGAAGCCGCACTCTTGCACAAGGAAGCGCAGCGTCTCCGACAGGCTCAGCAAGGAGAAGCGCCTACCTTCCAGACTCGGTCCGCGCGTCCCAACGACATCAAAGAGAGCGGGAACGGCGAGGTTGGGGAGGGTGAGAAGGCAACTCAGTCGAGTCGACCGGGGTGGACATTCCGACGGACGGAGAACTTGCGCGTGTGGGCAGCAGCGCTTCGGCTTCGACACAGCATCCAGACCACGGCCACACGCGCCGTAGCCAAACCCGCCGCACCGGGGCCAACGTACGGCAGCCTGGGCATGGGCAAGCTCGCACTGCATGGCAGG